TTCTTTTTTGGCTTTAAAAATTTAACTCTCAAAGGACTTCAAGATTCTCTTTTTTTTCCAGACAGGGTCTCTCGCTCTGTCACCCAGGCTGGAATACAATGACATGATCACAGCTTACTGCAGCCTTGACCTCCTAGGCTCAAGTGATCCTTCCATCTGTCTCAGCCACCTGAGTAGTTGGGACTACAGGCATGTGCCACCATGCCCGGCTAATTTGTTAATTTGTTGTAGAGACAAGGTCTCATGTTGCCCAGGCTGGTCTCAAACTCCTGTACTCAAGTGATCCTCCCACCTCTACCTCCCAAAGTGCTGGGATTACAGTTGTAAGCAACCATGCCCAGCCCAAAATTCTGACTATCAAAGATTCATGAGTTATAAAATATTTGAAATGGAGAAAAAGTTGGTTGAAAAGAGTTGACAAGTAGCCTATGAAGATGAGTAATTGACAATTACTCTAGTAACTTCAAGTTTAATGCTACTATTAACATGACTTTCCTTGGACAAACCATTACCTCATTCAGTAAACAATTACTAAAAGCCTTCTGGGCAGCAGGCCTTTGCAGCCAGTAAGATAGATCAGCTAGCTCCTGTAACCTGGGAAGGCCAGTGCTATGGGAATAGAAGGACTGGTCAAAGCTATTCCTTGCTTTCTTCAACATTAGAACCTGCCTTGAATCTTTGTCTTTTGTTTCTGAATTTTATTCAGCAGTTAAGCCAAAATACTTTTTCCGGGCTATGGCCATGGTGCTAAAATCTTGTTTTTTTGAATTGAATTTCCATTTCAAGAGAAAAAATTATCATCTGCTTTGTTAAATCTCTAGTGAAGAACAGGTAACATTGTTTCTACTGTATGAAAAACATGGTACTACTAAAATGATCTCTTGCAGGGTCCCTGTTTCCCTTTCAAGTAACTGTTCATAGAACCAACTTGCATTAAGAACAATGATGTACCCTGAATGAAATAATTATCCTAATTTAGTAATAGCATTCTTTGCTTAAACAAGAATGATTGCCAATAGAAAGGTAAAAGCATCCATTTCAATGGTGTGTTTGACTGAAAAATCAGTCTCAAAAGTTTCCATGATGAAAGTCATACTTGAAACAAAACATTTCAAAAGTTCTAGCTGGGCATAGTGGCTCACATCTGTAATCTCCGCACTTTGGAAGGTCGAAGTAGGAAGACTGCTTGAAGCCAGAAGTTCATCATCAGCCTGGGCAGCAAAGGAAAACCCCAACTCTACATGAAAATTAAAAAATAAAAATTAGCCAGACATGGTGGCAGGTGCCTGTAGTCCCAGCTACTGCAGAAGCTGAGGTGGAAGGATTGCTTGAGCTCAGGAGTTTGAGTCTGCAGTGAGCTGATTGTGCCACTGCAGTCCAGCCTGGGGTGACAGAGCAATTACTAAATTGCTATTACTAAAAAAAAAAATTACTAAATGCTATTACTAAAAAAAAAAAAAAAAAATTGGACAAAGCCGATCTAATCAGGGTGGCATCCTTATCCACCTGCATATGTTGATACGGTCATTTGGATTCCAGGCCCCAAATTTTACTTGAAAGAACTGATGACTTGATGAGAGCAAGAATTGAATGCTCCTGGGAAAGAAAGGAGGAAGGCCAGAGCATAAGAGACAAAAGCAAATTGAGAAAGAAACGGAACCATTTTCTACAAAGTCAAAAGAGGAAGGACAGCAAGAGATTTAACATTTAGACTTGAGGATCAGATAAAAAATGATCAAAGAGTTCAGAGAGGTAAATTGAACCACAAATGCAGTCTTACAGAAACCTAGTTAATTTCGAGAGTTAGGAGGTTAGTCAGTAGTGTCCAACACAGAAAAGTGGAGTCTGGGAAGGTTTAAATGAGACCCCCCCCCCACCCCGAGATTTGACAAGATTAGTCATGTTTGATAGAGCTATTAGGCACTGAGTTTTGAGTCCAGAATCCATAATGCAATACAGGATAGTGAATAATGCCTAGGTGAGGGGGTCAGACAGACCTACACTTAATTCCCATTTGTTGCTACATAATGGCTTTATAACCTTACGTAAATTATTTAAACTCCCTTGGCCTATTTATTCATTTATAAAATAGAAATAATGCTGTTGGTTCATATCAGGAACATACTATTAATATATAAAGCAGCATTTGTGTGATTAAGAGCAGGGTGGACTTGGAGCCATACTTAGTTAAGTGAATTGCACCTGCTTATTTGACTAGCTTGTGTTTTTGGTCATGCTTAATTGCCAGTTTCCTCGTCTGTAAAATGGCCAATACCATCCAAGTTTCTTCTGAAAATTAGAAACATGAAAGGCAAATGGACTGGGACACATTAGGTATCCAAATAGTAGTTATTCTGTTTACCAGTGAGCCAGTGAGGAGAAGGGTCAAAAGGCCTATCTTTGAAGTAGAAATTCAAGCCTGCTTATAGGCTGAGTGGAAGAAGACAAACTAGGAGGAAACAATTAGTGAAACAAAATGGATCATGTCTAAGAACTAGGAAGTGACAGAACCTAGATCACATGGAGGATTGCCCTTAGAAAAGTGAATGGATTTCAAACTAGAATTTCATTAACAGGTTCTTAGGAAGATTTTATAAGACTATGCATAGAAATGCCTGTCAGTTTGTCTGGTACCTAGTGGATGCTGAAATAGTTGACTTTCGCTATCCTGAGCAGGTCCAATATGCCAGACTTCTCTTCACAGGTACAATTTATTGATTTCCCTGGAACCTCATTTTTATCTTTTCTGTCCATAAAGGGATTGTTGTAGCTAATTCCACAAAGAAGAAATGCCCAATTTTTCCACTGCTGCTTACTCCATTTCTACTTGCTCTTTCATCTTCCAAGTACCTATGTCTTTTTATTTTAGATTTTGCTGTGTCTGCTCAAATAGCACAAATTATGACTTTTCTCCAGTATTTATCCACATACATTTTAGAGTTGTAATGAATTTACAACTTGTTTCATTGACTACTTAAATCATATCTCATGTTTTGGCATAGCCACCATTGTTTTGTTTTGAGTATGTTGCTTTTTCAACCATTCTTAACTTCAGTTATCTTTGACGTGGGTATGCTATAATTAACAATTTCCCAATGATACATATTTAGATACCCAGCTATTCTTTTATTAGTGAATAAATTTTTATTAATAAATAAGGCCTATTTATTATAGGCTTTTCTTTTGCATCTAGAGAAGACAATATACTTAGAATTATTTCTTCAGAACAGTGCTGTCAAATAGAAGTTTCTGTAATGATAGAAATGTTCTCTGTGCCATCCAATAGGGACACTAACCACATGTGGCTACTGAGCGCATAAAATGTGTCTAATACTGGCCGGCCGGGGTGGCTGACGCCTATAATCCCAGCACTTTGGGAGGCTGAGGTGGGCCACGAAGTCAAGAGATCCAGATCATTCTGGCCAACATGGTGAAACCCCGTGTCTACTAAAAATATAAAAATTAGCTGGGTGTGGTAGCACTTGCCTGTAGTCCCAGCTACTCAGGAGGCTGAAGCAGGAGAATTGCTTGAACCTGGGAGTCTGAGGTTGCAGTGAGCTGAGATCATGCCACTGCACTCCAGCCTGGGTGACAGAGCAAGACTCCGTCTCAAAAAAAAAAAAGTGTCTAATACTGCCAGGTGCACTGGTGCAGTGTCTCTCACCTGTAGTCCCAACTACGTGGGAGGCTCAGGTGAGACGATTGCTTGAGCCCAGGGGTTCCAGGTTGTAGTGCATTATGATCACACCTGTGAATAGCCACTGCATTCCAGGTTAGGCAACACAGGGTGACCCAATCTCTAAAAATAAAATGTATCAAATACAACTGAAGAACTGAATTTTAAATTAACTTTAGCCACAGTTGGTTAGTGACTATTGTATTGGACAGCACAAATCTAGAAACTTATTTTTTTAAAAAATTAAACTATCGAACCAAAACCTAGGCTGCAGTTAAGGGAAAGACTAAATATTGTAGAACCAGGTGTGCCTTTTCAGCAGTTACTTTTCTAACACTTGAGAAAATACAGTTATGAACTGGATTTAGAGCTGCGCTGCTGGGATGAGGACCACCACATCAGCAGCACGTGGGTGCTTACCAGAAATTCTGATTATCCTCCACGCCTTACTCACTGAATCCTAATACCCGGTTTCGAGGCTCAAAAATGATTTTAAAAGCCCTGTGGGTTATGATGTATGCTACTGTTTAAGAACTACTGCTATAGAATGCTGAACACAAGGTCCCTCCCTTCTAGGAATTTCTGATTGCTAGAATATAAACTCCCTGAGAAAAGAGGCTTTGCCTTCATCTCTCAGCATCCGACACTCGTTAAAGCAGTAAGAAGAGGTCAATAAAGATTTGCTATTAGATTGCCATTCTCCACCATCCTGAAGTAATGCTATTCGTCTACATTACCTCAAGGTGAGGTAAAATATCCTAAAGAGCATAGCCATAAACACGATCTAGAACAAAATCTGAAAAACGTAGTTTGGTGTTTTCCTTTGTTTTGGCCAAAAGCATTATATATGTCTGTGTCTGTGTGTATGTGTGTGCGTTGCCATTTTCTTGATAATTTAAAGGAAAGCAAATAATTTGAATAAAAGTTTCTTGTAGCTAAAAGGGGAATGAAACAGCCGTAGGCTGTGGCCGTAAACCTTATGAGGGTAAGATAGGAGGAGTAGGTTAAAGGATTTAACTCTCTGGAATGCGGTTTGAAAAGAGAAAGGGATCTGGAGCGGACGAGAATCCTCCCCGGGGGGCGCCCTCACTTGACATCACACGGGACGAACCCTAAAACCTGACTTGTCTGAAATTCAAATTTAGGAGAACTGTACTTTTACTTGCAAAATCTGGCAACTCAGGGTTCGGCCCTCCCAAATCCTCGGCGGATCGCGACGCGCCTGAGTCAAAGGGGACCCCAAATCGTCGACTGATCGCGGCCCGCCGGGGTCAAATTCCAGCGCCCAGCCTCGCCGCGCCCAGCCGGCCCAGGAATGCGGAAGGGCCGCGGAGCTGCCGCGGGAGCGGGTGGCGAGGGCCGGGCTGCGGGCGACCGCCGCGGCGCAGGCAGCTATACCGCAGCAGATCGGAGCAGGCCGGAGGGGCAGCTAAGACCCCGGCCGTGTCCGACCGGTGCCAGCAGCCCCGCCTCTCTGCGAACACGCAGACTCTGCCAGCCCGGGCGCGAATAGCCGGCGCACCCCCGTTTCAGTTGGTCTCGCCGCGCCTTCCGGTGCGCCTTCCGCTCCGCCCCTCCAGGCAGGAAGTGCCGGCGCCGCCACTGTCCGGCCGCAGCCCTGTGCTCTTCGCTGTTGCTCGTCGTCTCGCGCAAGGCGGCCTCAGTTCTGGTGTTTGGCGCCGGGTGAGTGGCGCTCGACCCCGCTCGCGGGACCCCTTGGGCCGCCTCCGTGTCCCCACGTCCCTTCCGGTCGCGCGTCTGCGGCCGGACCCCGCCCCAGTGCGGCCGGGCGGCGGCCGGACCTGTCCGGCTGGCTGAGGAGGGGGCGCGGGGCCGGAGGTGGAGGGAGGAGGGTAGGCGGCGAGGCCCTGGCCCGCGACGTCCAGGGGCCGGGAGGCTGCAGGCGATGGAGCTGGGCTGAGGAGACGCCCTGCTAGAGAGGTGACCGGTCCTGCGCCACCTGGGTGACCTCATTCACCTGGGCCCTGGACCGCCGGACAGCCCCGCAGCCAACACCTGCCCTCCCTGGGCCGTGGCGCACCCTGGCGGTGGATTAGGGCTGGCAGGACGTATTCGTGTGGAGCACCTGCCCTGTGCCCCACACTGTCCTAGATGCTTTGGAGGGTGCAGGAGCCTCCTAGTGCACGGTCTTGCCTAAGGTGAAGTCTCCAAGGAAACCATTAACAATCCGGTACCCGAGTGTGTGGTTGATAAAGGTTCAAATATAATGATTTACATCGAGTTGTAATTCTCTCAACGTGCCTTGCATCTTCTATAAAGGTGTAGTTCATTCGTGTTGATTGAAGAAAGGACAATTAACAGAAATCTGGAAAGGTTACTTGGAAAAGAATCGTGACCTCACTGAAGGCCTTGTATTCAGCCCTAGGAGGGAGAACTTAGCGTTTCCGGCTAGATGTGTGGGAGGTGGTAACAAGAGCACAACTCAAAAGCTCAGAATTGTGTTCTGTGAAAAGCAGACCGTGGGAAGACCAGCGGGTATGGAACAGAACTGTAATGACTAATAGTTGGAAATAAGGATAGATAGGTAAGTGGGACCTTCTTATGGGTGTCTTGAAAACGTAGGAGAAAGAAAAGATTAGATAAGCCATAGAGAGTAATTTTGGAGTCTTCACTAAGGGAATAATAAGAAAGGGATGTTTAGAGGATTCACTTGGCAGCTTTAGTTTAAGATGGATTTGTAATGGTCTTTTGTTAAGAGAGGAATCATAGCATTTAGAATCCAGTAGGACCTTATAGATTACCTTGTGAAGCCCTTGCATTTTGTAACTGAGGAAAATGAAACCCAGAGAGGTGATGTAATTTGCCCAAGGTGGTGAACCCCCCCCCCCCGCCCCGAACTTTATAACTAAGAGCACAGCTTTTGCCTTGTGAAGGCTCTGTTGAGTGAAACAACTTTTTTTTTTTTTGGCCGGGTTCTATAATGATTCTAGACTTTGTTCTGGCCCCAAGAGTGAAACAACTTTTATGATAGCTGATTCAGTGTTTGTTTATGCTTTGATGAGACTAAGCTTGTATAAGATGAACTGCAACTTCCGAAGGACAGATCCCCAGACGAGGGTTGCTACGGTTAGGAAAGAGAACAGGCGCACCAACATGGGGCTAGTTTTCCCCTTGTCCCAAGATTTAAAGACTCCAGGTATCTGGGGATGAGTTTATCATACCCTTTTTGCCAGCATCTTTGGGATCTTTCTTCCTCATTCCACACATTAGCTTTGGGGTGTCATTGCCTGTTACTCCCATCTATTCACATTTTCATGGTAGGGAATTTCAGCTGCCTCTATGCAGGATATTAGAGGCCAGTGGTTCAAGCTCTGGAGCTAGATTTCCTGAATACAGATCCTGGTTCTGAGCTCTGCCATTTTCTAGCTGTGTGGCAAGTTGTTTATTCTCTTTACCCTGATTTTCTCATCCGAGAGAAGAGGATGGTAACAGTATCCATATTATAAGTTGTTGTGAGGACTAAATGTATTAACACAAACGGGATGCTTAAATCAGTGCCTGGTACATCTTCAGCACTCAGTTATTGTCCCTGGTTAGTACTGCTTCTTCCAAGTATGGAGCAGGGGTTAGCTGCTAAGTGTCCTTAGGGATCTGTTGGGGAAGAGACTGAAACCATAGGTAGACCATAGAGAAAAGCCTCATATTGGAATTCAGATCCGGGACCTACCTTGTAATGAACATATATGTGTAATTCTGTTTGTGACAGGAAGGAGCCATATATATATGTATGTATTTGCCTAACTAGGACTCTTTGACCACCTGTTGTGTGCAAGGCACACTACTAAGTTCCACAGTCCAAGGTGGAAAGGCAAAAGGCAATATGGCCAGGTATGGTGGCTCACACCTGTAATCCCAGTGCTTTGGGAGGCCAAAGTGGGAGGATCATTTGAAGCCAGGGGTTCAAGACCAACCTGGGCAACATAGCAAGATCCCATCTCTAGCGCCCTACCCCCTTCTTGCAAAGTAGCCGGGTGTGGTGGCTCATGCCTGTAGTCCCAGCTGCTCATGAGGCTGAGGCAGGATGATCACTTGAGTCCAGGAGTTAAAAGGCTACAGTGAGCTATGATTGTGCCGTAAACCCAGTATGAGAGGTGAACTTCAAAACATTGTATTGAGTGAAAGAAGACAGGCATATATATGGATATGTACTGTACAATTCCATTTATAAGAAGTTCAAAGAAAAAAACTAATCTATGGTGATAGAAATCTGAACAGTGGTTGCCCATGGAAGATGGTGGTTAACTTGGAGAGAATTTTCTGGAACAATGTCAACATTTGTAACTTAATTGGGATGATGGTTACATGGGTATACACATTATAAAAACTTATTAAGAGGCCAGGTGTGGTGGCTCACACCTATAATCATGGCACTTTGGGAGGCTGAGGTGGGTGGATCATGAGGCCAGGAATTCAAGACCAGCCTGGCCAACATGTTGAAACGTCGTCTGTATTAAAAATAGAAAAATTATCCGGACGGGGTGGCACATGCATAGCTACCTGACCCCAGTGGTGGGGGTTGCAGTGAGCTGAGATCACACACTGCACTCCAGCCTGGGTGACGGAGTGAGACTCTGTCTCAAAAAAAAAAAAAAATTAAGGTTTGTACATTTGAATGTATATAAATTTCACTGCAGTAAAACAAAATGATATGGGACCTCAGAGAATAGAAAGTTCACAGCTAACTGGAATGATCATAAAACCTATGATAGAGAAGGAAATGTCAGTGTTATATGTTTGGGGTAAGTGGTAAAATACATGTAGAGTACTAGGGGAAATGCTTCCCTGATGTTAAGAAAAGTTGAAAAAATTGAGTATGGCTCCCTAAAAAAATACATATAATTATGGAACTATCTTTTTTGCCTAAATATGCAGCATAAAAACAATGATATGTCATTAAGTATATGATGTTAATTCTGTGAAGTATTTTAACTTGACATATAATAAATTCTGTTTATGACTGCTGTTTTCAGACTGTCGTTTATGTAACCAATCATTTGAGTCTTCCAGTTAGAACATTCATCTTGACTACAGTAATAACCATGGGAATCCATGAGAAATTTCTAAAGATTCTAATAGACCTTGGTGAAGATGAGGTGGAGTAAAAATGACCTTAGGTTAGCCCAAGAACTACTGTCTGCTTTTCTATGTGAGTTCATCTATTCTGAGGGCTTTACCTTGTGCCTCTGCTCACAAATCAGCATTGCTAAGCATGACCCCCTCAGAGTCCTGCCTTCTCTGCTTGCATTCTACTGTGGCCTAGCTAAAATTAGAGCTGTTTATCATCCTTTGCTTGCAAAATCAGCTCCTCCCTCCCCTTCCCAATTATCTCATTTTTGAGTGGCACCTTTATGCTACCAGTTTTTCAGTCAGTACTTAGAAAAAAGGACAGAGCTTTGAGACCCCAATTGGAAAATGAGAATAACTGGCAAATCAGGAAGTGTTTTGCTGGTCGGAGCCAGAGAAATTCAGCCAAAAGAATAGGATGGTGATGATGGGAATGTTGATTGAGGAAGGGTGACTCGTGCAGTAAAAAGAACCTACAGAACTTGGATGGCAACTGAGAAGAAGGAGTTAAACTTTTCTGCTTAGAAATGGAAACTTCCTGGTGCTATGCAAAGTTGATTGTGGTCCCTTGAAACTTGGACTGTGGCTGTAATTCTGAAATAAAGGCATTGCCCTATTTTAACATTAAAGAGGTCAAGGAGACAGTGATTTTATTACTTTTCTATTGGTGTACAACAAATTACTCCGAAACTTAGCACCTTAGAAACCAACAATTTTTGAGGGGCAGAGCCAGAGCAGCTTAGGTGGGTGGTTCTGGCACAGGGTCTCTCATGAGGTTGCATCCAGGGGCTGCAGTTGTCTGAAGGAAGGTCAGCCTCCCGAATGTCAGTCACATAGCTGACAAGTTGGTGCTCACTGTTAGCAGAAATCCTCAGTTCCCTGCCACATGGATCTCTCCATAGGGCTGTGTGAGTGTCTTCATGACCTGGCTTCTGCCAATTGAGTGATCCAAGACAGCAGGGCAAAAGCTGAAAGGTCTATTATGACAAAGCCAAACACCCTCATTTCACAATATCTTATTGGTTACACAGGTCAGCACTTTTCATTGTTGGAGAGGACTGCACAAGGGCATGAGAATTGTTGAGGACTTTCTTAGAACCTGGCTACCACCATGACCAGAGGAGCAAGTTTAAGTGCTCTGAGGGGCCAGGCAGATAAACTAATACCTGCTGGGATAAGGAAATGTAGGGAGTAGAGGGGATTGCTTGTTAAACAAGCAATTATTACCTGCAGGAATTTCCAGGATGCTGGTCAGGTGATTCTTTATTGTACAGTTGTTTAAAATATCTGAAATTTAGGTTATGTAAAATGTTCAATTTTTTAAAATGTTGGCAGACTAATTCAATTTTTAAAAGGCATTTTAAAGGTCATGTCTGGGGATTACTAAATGAACCTCTGTGTAGACTACATGTAGTTTAGTAGCTGCGAAGTTATTTCTTCTATCTACCTAACACTGATTTTATGGTTGAAGACAAATGAGGCCTGGGAAAGCCAAAGTGACCAGCAGTCATACAACTTGTGAATAATAGAACTATAATTCTGTTATTCATCTGGAATTAGTTTTATCATTCAGCATCTTCGTTAAACCGTAATGATGACATTGAAAAAGTAAGGGGAACTAGATGCATAAACAGCCAGTGTGATCTGAGTGGTTAACTTCATACACTAAGTGGTTCTTAACCTTCAATGTGCATTGAAATCATGTGGTGCATTTTTGAAAATACAGATGCCTCGGCTCCACTCCCAGATATTCCATTACCTTGAGGCTACAGGCATCACTTTCTGCAGCCAAGATTGAAACCAGAGGATATAACTGCTTTAAGAGCCATATTTACTTGCTCTAGCTGACTTGAAGCCTCAAACGAAGTCATAGGTGGCTGACAGAATGTGCTCTGTGAGCCTCTTCCCCAAGCTTTCGATAAAGCTGAAGTTCATAGACAATTTCTACTTATTAATGATGATGGTGTCTATGTTTCTCTTTGCATATCAGTACTGCAGGTGACTTTGCAAACATTTTTATTATCAACCAAGTATGTTGATACCACAGCCACCTATAATACATAATGCAGTAGTCCTATATTATGCTTCTTTCTGTGGTCCATGGTTTTGCTTTCTGGGTTTCAGTTCCCTGTGGTCAACTGAGGTCTGAAAATAAGTGAGTACAGTACAATGAGATATTTTCAGAGAGAGACCTCATTCACATAATTTTTGTTACAGTATATTCTATTTTATTATTGTTAATCTCTTAACTGTGCTTAATTTATAAATTAAGCTTTATCATATATATGTATATATGAGAAAAACAAACTATATATAGTCATTTATCTGTATCTGCAGAGGGTTGGTTCCAGGACCCTCCTGCAGATACTGGAATCTGCAGATGCTCAAGTCTTTCATATAAATGGCATAGTATTTGCATAAAACCTACACATATCCTCCTGAATACTTTAAATCATCTCTAGATTGCTTATAATATATAATGCAAATACCATGTAAATAGTTGTTATACTGTATTTTTATTGTTGTATTTTTTGTTTGTATTTTTTCAAATAAACAATTGATTTTCAGTTGAATCTGTGAGTGTGGAACCTGTGGATATGGAGGGCTGGCTATGTGGGTTGGGTACTATCCCTGGTTTCAGGCATCCACTGGGGGTCTTGGAATGTATCCCCCTCAGATAAGGAGGGACTGCTGTATCAATTCCTACATGCCTGCCTTTGATGTAACCTCTGAGTACTAATTCTATCCTTTAGTTCACTTTATATTAGAAATTTATAGCAATATCAGAGTAACAGTTTTACAGAGGAAGGAAGAAGTGTTTTTACTGCTGTTGAGGGTTATTACATTCATTTGTGCTGTGTTCTGTATGGCTATTTTCTGTCTGTACTTCAAGGGTTGGATTGGGTTTTTTTTTTGGTTTGTTTTTGTTTTTGAATGCTTTTAAGTTGAACCTTAATAAATTTGACAGTCCTAGATCAAAGTTTCAAATGAAAGCTATGACTGATAGCTGCCACCTGACCAAACCCAACCTGGGTTACTACACTGCACAATTCCAGGGATTGCCATTTACATGTCAGTTACTCACTGCGATTCTATTCTGTACGTTGATTTCTCTTGTATAGTTTGGCTTTATTTGAAAACTCAATTTGTCTAGGATTTGACTTTAGAGGAATGTAGCTGCTCAGAAATCAGTGTTGAATTATATTGATAGAATTGAAAGTTTTTAAAAATTTTGTGTCAAACTCAAAATAATTAGAAGAGTATTTAGAAGGAAGTAGAAAATATACAGGGTGAACAACCTGTAACAAATGGGGTTTGAACCCTAGCTCTGCCACTAGGTGACTTTGGGCAAGTTATTTAATATCTTTGACCCTCGATTTCTTCATTTGGCAGATGGGCATGTTTCATTTAATGCACATAATGTTTCTAGCACATGAGTCACTTAATAAATGATAGTAGCTGTAAGTTGAGTAGACCTTTAATTTTCTCTGTGTTCCTAAGGCAGACAAGTAGATCAGGGCAATTGGGGCTGGAAAAATAGCAAGAACAAAAATACACAAGATAAGAAATGTCATAGTGCCTCGGGGACATTTGCAGTTTGGTGTTGCTAAAGGAAAAGTACAAAGCAGAGAATGGCTAAAGAGGAGGCTGGAAGGGCTATTCTAGAGTGGGGAAAGGAAGACTCGTGTGCCATGCACAGGAACTTGGTACTTTAGGAAGAGGAGAGCCAAAGAAGATTTTGAAAAGTGGAATGATGAGGTGATCATATTTATGTTTTAGACAACCGTGGCTAGAAAACTAAGGGTAGTTTTGAGAGAGCCAAAAGGCAAGGGGACTAGTGAGGAGGCCATAGAAATATTTTACACAAGTGGTAATAAGGATCCAGTTTAGGGTGGTGGCAGAGGAATGAAGAAGATGAGCAACTCTGAGAAATATTTCTCAATCATCAGGGAGAGGGATTTGGGAGGTTGACTCCTAGGTTTCTGGCTTGTGGGTAGATGATTGGAAACAGAAAGATGGGAAAGTTCAGGAGTGGGGAGATAATTGAGTTTTCAGCATGTTGATTATGAATGTCTGTGAGATATCCAGATGGGTGCCTTTCACAGGCATTTAGATATTTGAGTCCGAGGCTCCAAGGAAATGTCAGGCCTGGAGGTTCAGAGTTGGGGGGTGTAGGTGTTGTCAGAACAGTGAAAGTTGATGAGATCATCCAAGGAATGAAGACTGAAAAGAACTTAAAACCATGTGCTGCCAGAATACTGGGAAATAAGAATATTTAAGAGGAGGTAAACTAAGAAGAAAATGGAGGAAGAAGTCTTAGAAATAGGAGAACTGAGCTAGAGTAAGTCAAATAAACAATTTTATAATCAGTCTTTCCAACATAATACTTAGCAGGCTTCCTCATTAGAGCGTAAGTTCTTCAAGGTTGGGACCCTTTCCACCTGGGACAGTTGATTTCTGCTGTTATGGAGCACCAGGCTAACAGTGGCTGAGTCTCCAAAGAAAAGAGGGATGAAATAGTGTCATACAGTAGACTGATTCAAGATTAGACCAGACCTGGCAATTAAAGCAGTTGCAGTAAGGAACAGAAAGCCAGATTGTGGCAGGTTGGAAATTGAGTGGGAAGTGAGAAGGTGGAGACAGCCAAGATGCTTATTTCAGAAGGGAAGGAGGGAGGGTGGTAATTTCTTTGGGGGCCACAGTTCCCTTCAGATTGATTATTTTGATACAACTTTGCTTCACTTTTCAGCTGATATTGTATGTATAGTTTTTATAGGTACCATATGTATATACAAATATGCCAGTTTTTAAATGAAGTATGAACAAAAATTTAAAATACAGTATTACTACATTGAGCCTATATCTGCTGTAATGTATTTGATTGGGACCAGTGAGTGAATTGTTTTTTGTTCTCTTCCATCAACTTGCCTTTTGTGTTTCCTTCTCTTGGGGGTCACCATCAGATGGTGATGGCTCTTCTAGACTTATCAGGCTAACTCCCTATTCTTTCTCACAGGCATTTCCCCGAATAAAATCCTTGGGTGTTTAATCCCATCTTGGTATTAGCTTCTTGGAGAACTTAGACTAAACTTCAAACATGTTTAAATATAGTATACTTTTGGGGTTAGCTGTAGAGGTAGCATGATACAATTGACTGATTTTTATTTGATTTCCTATGATTTTTTGAGACAAGGTCTCTTTTTGTCACCCAGGCTGAGGTTAGGGGCACCATCACAGTTTACTCTCCTCGACCTCCCAGGCTCAAATGATCCTCCCACCCCAACCTCCCGAGTAGTAGCTGGGACCACAGGCATATGCCACCACACCTGGCTAATTTGTGTGTGTGTGTGTGTGTGTGTGTGTGTGTGTGTGTGTGTGGAGACAAGATCTCACTTTGTTGCTCAGGCCTGTCTCAAACTCCTGGGCTCAAGCAGTCTTCCAGACTCAGCCTCCCAGCGTGTTGAGATTACAGGCGTGAGCTACCACACCAACTTGATTATTTTTTAAAAATAAATATTTAACTCTGGAAACTTTTTCTAAATAACCCTATTACAAAAATGACTTGCTGATGGAAAGAACTAATAATTTTTGCCTTCAGACTTACTTGACTAATCTTCAAGAAATTGAGTCAAAATTTTTAGCATGAGAATGAACCTTAATCTAAGTTTTTGGTATTTGAAGAATGAAAACATAATCAAATGCCTGTTAGTGGACTACATTCTGTCTCTGATTTAATCTTCGATATAACTAAGGGCAAATAACAACTAAGTTACAGGGAAGAGAAGAAAATTAAACTTTATTCAGGACTTGTATGTGGGGAGGATAAGGGGTTGGAATGTTAGAGTAAGGACTGTAAGGCTGGTGTACTTCAAAACTGCACCACTAAGCCAAGCTTCAAAACACTCTGTGGGATGTTCTTTAGCTTGAAGAAATAGAAGTAGACAATAAATGTATAAAAATCCCAATACCAGAAGTCCTGGAGACACAGGTCCCAAATCTCCCTGCTCGGCCATTGGCATGTCTAGTCATTTGTTTTCACATTGCGGGAATTTATGGAACAGTCTACAAGATCATCATTTCTGACAGCAGTTTCAAGTTTGGATGTCCTAAGACCACCCTTGGGTTTGATTAGTTGCTAAGACTCACAGAACTCACTGAAAGCTGTTAGGGTTACAGATGTGCAGGTTTTCAGAGGTGATATGTAGCTAGTAATGGTGGAGCTGAGATTTGAACTCAGGACTTCCTAACTCCAGAGCTGATGGTATTTTTGTGTTTTATTTATTATTTAAAACTGCAAATTAAAAAAAAGAAATAATTGTCTGTTCTGCTTGATATTTAAATTATTGGTGGCTTTCAAGTGTTGGAGGCTACCACCAAAGCCATATTACAGAGAATCAAGGAGTGCTTGGGAAGAAGAGAAAAGGGGCTGCACACGGTGGCTCATGTCTGTATTCCCAGAAGTTTGGGAGGATCCCTCGAGCCCCAGAGTTCAAGACCAGACTGGGCAATATAGTGAGAATCCCCATCTCTAAAATAAAAAACAGAAGGGGAAATGGAGAGAGTTCAGTATTAGACTGGTATTCTGAAAATTTTGTCAAGGGAAAGGGGAAATGGAGGGATAGCTAGAAGGGCTAAAAGATGAAAGGGTAGGTTTGAGATTCAAAGATGAGACCTTTTTGAACATGACTAGTCTTTACATATGTTACCTCATTTAGTTCTTACGTTGCATTGACGTAGGTATCATGTTTTACTGATGGAAAAACTGAGGCTTAGAGAGGTTATGTTATACTGTTAGTAAAATGGAAATAATAAGAGTATCTACCATAGGCAACTACTGTGAAGATTAAATGGGGACAGTCTTTGTCAGTAAGAGATCAACTTTGGAGACTTTCTCTTTGGGGAAACCCTATGCCTTCATAAAGTACTTGGCTAGAGTAAGTACTCCATAGATGCTAGCTATTGTTAGATATTTTAAATTCTCACTTCATAAAAATTAGTCTGCTGCAATTTAGGAGAAAGTACATCAATAATTTCTATTCTGTTTCTTTCTTTTTTAGAGATGGGGATCTCACTGTGTTGCCCAGGCAAGTCTTGAACTCCTAGTCTCAAGTGATCCTCCCACCTTGGCCTCCCAAGGTGTTGGGTTGTAGGCATGAGCCACTGGCGCCTGGCTAATTCTGTTCTTTCATGTTTCAAAAACTGCTTTTTTTCCTACTCAGTTATTTAATTGTCACATTGAAAATAAAGTTTAGGTGTGTACTTATTCCCATGCAATTGAAGTAATAATTCCATATTGATATTTTTACCTACTAACTTAACACCTAAAGTATTCTGGTTTTGCTTTATGTTTTTTGCATTCTTTTTGGTTTTATATTTTTGTGCTTTTTTCAACTCCAGAATTAAACCACCACCATGTCGAGCAAAAAGGCAAAGACCAAGACCACCAAGAAGCGCCCTCAGCGCGCGACATCCAACGTGTTTGCTATGTTTGACCAGTCACAGATTCAGGAGTTCAAAGAGGCCTTCAACATGATTGATCAGAACAGAGATGGTTTCATCGACAAGGAAGATTTGCATGATATGCTCGCTTCTCTAGGTAGACTTTATATTCTTTATTTGCGTTTTCCCAAATATAATAATTTGTCTCTTTATGAATCATTTTTTGTGTGATATACAAATATTTCTCTCCTTGTCTCAAAAGGCCTCTAGAGAGATTTCTGGGTGTGGGAGGTGCCATTTTGGGGCTCGGCCAGTCACACAGGGATAAGCTTACAAGGTTGGGGACCTGACAGATGCTGTGTCCAGGTAGGCTGACGGTCCTGTTAGCTAAATATTTTAGGTCTCTAGATGGAAAGCCAGGGCATGGCTAGGCAGCAAAATACCAGAATTTCAAACAAGTGTAGCTAATAGTATACTATTAATAAAGGTTGAGTACAGGTTATAAACAAGAAGTGACAGTAAGTAATAATGGTTATCTCTGAGGAGGAGGGGCAGTGCGACTAGAAAAGGAAACACAGGGAAGAAGACTTTGACAATATTGTATGTGATTTTGTTTTGTTTTGTTTTTTTGAGATGGGGTCTCGCTCACTCTGTTGCCCAGGCTGGAGTGCAGTCTCAGCTCACTGCAACCTCTGCTTCTGGGTTCAAGAGATTTTCCTGCCTCAGCCTCCTGAGTAACTGGGACTAGGTACACGCCACCACACCCAGCTAATTTTTTTTTTTGGTATTTTTAGTAGAGACGGGGGTTTCACCGTATTGGCCAGGCTCGTCTCGAACTCCTGATCTCATGATCCACCCGCCTCTGCTCCCAAAGTGCTGGGACTACAGGTGTGAACCACGGTGCCTAGCTGTGTGATTTTTTTTTTTTTAATAATTAAAGGAAATGTAAAGATGCAGGATTTAAAGCAAACACAAACAGCCGTTTGTTGCTGTTGGTATATGGGTGTTAATATTCCTTGTATGTATTTGTGGTTTCCTTTGATCTTAAAAAGAAGGACAGGAGGAAATGTCCTTCATGTTCTGCCCAGGGGCAGCAGTTATTTTACATACAGGTGGGAGTCAAGGGAACTAAGGCGAAGGAGACCTTGATAGGCCAAAGCAATGGGGGTGAGGCGGGCTGGAAGTGGGTCACGGATGGCCTGCAGTGAGGCTTTGCACTCTGTTCTACTGACTGGCCAAAAAGGCTAAGAAGTGGGGGGATCTTTTTTTTTTTTTCTTTTAATGCCCACAAAATGATTGGCTAGCTTTTATTCTTCTACCTTTTGATTTTGATTATTTCTCCTAATGCATTGAAAGTAAAGTTTAGGTGTGTGCTTATTGCTTTCCAACATATGATTTTGAAAAATTCCAAGCCTACAAAAAATGGAAAGAACACTATAGTGAACTCCTATACATCTTTAGCTATATTCACTAATCATTAACATTTTGCAACTTTTGTTTATCCAGGGTAAGAGTAGAATCAGATTTTAATCTGATTTGTTGACTTGCAGTTAGATTATAACCTAGTGTTTTTCACATCCACAATGTCTGAATATATTCTTGGGCAAGTCAGTACTGAAAAAGGCCACTGAGGAAAATTGAGGAACTTAGCTGTCTTCCAAAGATTGAACTCTCAAGTCTATAACTTGAGAGATGATCAGTAACTATTTGGTTGAATGGACAAGTGGTGGTAGAGTCAGAGTTTATCTTTGAGGCCCTCTGTTTTGCAGAAACCCATGCCTTCTTTAAAGATATGTGTTAAAAGAACAGTTTCAGCCAAGTTAAATTTAAGCGAGTTTAATTGAGCAGTGAACAATTTGCAAATCAGGTAGCCACCAGAATCACAGCAGATTCACAGAGACTCCAGTGCAGCCATGTGGTAGAAGATTTATAGGCAACAGAAAGGGAAGTGACGTACAGAAATTGGAAGTGAGGTATGAATGGCTGGATTGATTACAGCTCGGCATATGCCTTATTTGAACACAGTTTGAACACTCAGCAGTGTATGAGTGGTTGAAGTATGAGCGCTGGAATTGGCCAAGACTTAGCAGTTGTTACAGGCTCATATTCCTAAGTTAGGTTTTCAGTCTTGTCTGACTATTAAGCTACGTTACAGTTCATCCACAAAGACTCAAATGTAGAAGTACAGAGTCTATCTCAGGCCATATTTAGTTTGCTTTAACATATGTATTTACCTTTCAGGGATACCTTCATACACCATTGGTAGGAATGTAAGTACAGCCACTGTGGAGGACAGTATGGAGGTTCCTCAAATAACGAAAAGTAGAGTTCCCATATAATCCAGCAATCCCACTGCTAGGTATATACCCAAAAAGAAAGGATATTAGTTGTATTATTGAAGAGATATCTGCACTCCCATGTTTACTGCAGCACTATTCACAGTAGCCAAGATTTAAAAGCACCATAAGTGTACATCACCAGATGAACGGATTTTAAAAATGTGGTACTATGTACAACAGAATACTGTTTGGCCATAAAAAATGAGATCCTGTCATTGCAACAACATGGATGGAACTGGAAGACATTATGTTAAGTGAAATAAGCCAGGCACAGAAAGACAAGCTTCACATGTTCTCACACATTTGTGGGAGCTAAAAGTTAAAATAATTGAACTCATGGAGATGGAAAGTAGAAGGATGGTTATCAGAGACTGGGAAGGCGAGGAGAAGAGTGGGAATGGTTAATGGGAACAAAAGTATAGTTAGATAGAATGAATAAAATGTTCTATTTGATAGAACAACAAGGTGACTGCAGTCAACAATAATTATTGTACATTTTAAAATAACTCAGAGTATAATTGGAATGTTGGTAACAAAGACATGATAAATGCTTGAAGGGACGGCCATGCCATTTACCTAGATGTGATTATTATGCACTGTATACTTGTATCAAAGTATCTCATATACCCCATAAATATATACGCCTACTGTGTACCCATGACAATTTAAATAAATATGAATTTTAAAAAGATGCGTATTTACCTTTCAAATCAACAGATCACATTGGATGTCTCGTGCAGGTCCATAAGTGCTTTGCCTAAACCAATTCATTTTACATCCCTGTGACTTTTTGTACCCTAGAGTTCTCTTCACACCTTTCAGTTACAGTTTTTCTTCCCCCCCAAAAAATGTTGCAAGTGAGTTGGGTTAAATTTGGAGGTAGGAAAGTAGATCTTTTTAGCTACTTTCACTTATTCAGTGAATCTTGAGTTTAATTTTGGGCTAATTTTGATACCCGAACATTGAGTAGGTGCAATCAGGTAGGATTGCAATGCAGTTCAAATATATGCCAACATGATGTTTAAATTTCACCCAAACTCCCAGGATTAAAACTTATATATGAACTAAAAGTGTAGCTTTGATTGTCATTCTAGCTTTGACTTAGTTGGGTATAATTTTGAGATGCTTCCTTAGATATGAATATCTGATGAATAGATGTTCTTTTCATATAAAATCATACAAACTTAATGTTGGAAGATACCTTTGAGATACCAACTTTAACCAGTCAATTAGACTTTTTAAGAAAAGACGTAAATTCTAAATAGGGTAGCACTGAAGAAAGGATCTGGAATACTGAGTTTGAATGCCAGTTCTGCCACTTCGTCCTGTATCACGCAACCAGTGGTGGAACTGGGATTCAAACCCAGTATTTCAGACCCTTGGTTCAGTGCTGCTTTCCCCACACCAGGGGGCCTCAAAAACACTCCCACCATGTCTGGCCATTCCAGAGAGATTTCTTCCAGCTCTTACAGAAAGATCAAGGGAGTTCCCTCACCACTGCACTAAAAGAAATGTGCATACTTGGAGTGGAGATTAAGATTTCCCATTACAAACAATACCAAACAAGACCACAGTTCAGTGATACTAGATATCTTCAAATGCTGTGCATACAAATAAACAGCATTTGAAGATATCTAATACTGTTCAGAGAAGCTCCCAATTCAAAACCATGCTAATAGTTTAAACTTAAATGGCCAACTTATAAATACAACTTTGAAGCATACCAACTCATTGGCATCTGTATCACAATTGGAAATATGAATATTTAGATTGTTTTGAATGACTGGTATTGAACTGACTCCCCTGATGGGCCGTTGATGTTATCAGCATTTAGGGTGTAGGCCAGGCTCGGTGATGCATGCCTATAATCCCAGCACTTTGGGAGACCAAGGCAGGTGGCTCACTTGAGCTCAGGAGTTCAAGACCAGCCTGGGCAACATAGTGAAGCCCAGTCTGCACAAAAAAAATGATCTGGGTGTGGTGGCACATGCCTGTAGTCCAAAAAAAAGTAAGATGTAATAATATGACATTGCCTGGCATCAGGCTTTTGTTTTGTTTTTAATGAAAAATAAGAGAAAGTTTACATAAATGAATAAATAACGTTCATTGTAACCCTGGAATACATTTTTACAATATTTTTTATGTTGTCAAAAATCTTTTTTAAATGTTCTTCAAATTAATTGAAAAATTAGTTTCAAATGATGTAAATTTTAAAAATATGTTGGGGAGCATAATAATAGTGAAATAATTGAAATTAGTGTTTTTGTCTTTAAATGTTAAAATGTGAATTCTTACAGGGAAGAATCCCACTGATGCATACCTTGATGCCATGATGAATGAGGCTCCAGGCCCCATCAATTTCACCATGTTCCTCACCATGTTTGGTGAGAAGTTAAATGGCACAGATCCTGAAGATGTTATCAGAAATGCTTTTGCTTGCTTTGATGAAGAAGCAACAGGTGAGTGCTGTTTGTTTATGCCCAGCCTCATTCCAGACTATATTAAGTACTTCTCTGAAATAGAAAGGGTTTTCTTTTTTTACCTCTAGAAAATACTTGCTTAAGATTAATTTTGTAAGCATATGATCTGTTTCTGAGCTTTTAAATGATTTGATCTCATATTAATACAGAACTCTAAAAACAATCGGAAAACGTAATGATATAGTTCATGCAGCCTCAGTTCACTAACATTTTTTTATAGATATGGATATTCTGAAATATTTTATAAGATTGACTAACTTTAGAAATGAATTATTAAAGTGCCAGGAAGTATTCATGACTGCTTTCTTCTTTCTGTTGCCTTCCAGGCACCATTCAGGAAGATTACCTGAGAGAGCTGCTGACAACCATGGGGGATCGGTTTACGGATGAGGAAGTGGATGAGCTGTACAGGGAAGCACCTATTGACAAAAAGGGGAACTTCAATTACATCGAGTTCACACGCATCCTGAAACATGGAGCAAAAGACAAAGATGACTGAAAGAACTTTAGCTAAAACCTTCCAATTACATTGTCTTACTCTGTTTTATTTCTCAGACCCTTTCCCCACCTCATAGAACCTGTTGCATGCAACTTAGTTTCACAGCTTTGCCTCTTTTTTTCGATGTATTTATTCCAGACCTTTCTGCCACTTAGCACTTGTATAATCAGACTGGAAATGGGGATGAGGGTGTAAATTGTATTGAAAAAGAGATCGCGAATAAAAATCAACAAATGTGAAAGCCCAGGAAAATATATTCGTATTTCTGGTTTTGCTGGATTTTTACATTTTTATATAATAAAAATGCTATTTTGAAATAAAGATTACGCTGACTCAAATGCAATATAATGGCAAGTTAAACAAATGATTGGTAGTTGGGAGTAGTCCTTTTTTCAGGTTTTCAGCTTCATATGATTCAGGTTTTATGGTAAAATTGATTTTTCACATATATGAGACTGTTCTTCAGAATTTTTAAGTACCTTTTTACATTATTATGCAGTAAAACCTAGCTATGTCTTTGTTTCTTTCATGCTTCTAGTCAGATGTTTAAACTATTAAATGATAAATATAGAATGTATCTGGGAAAACATTAAACATTGCATTTGTCTAATATTCTGAGAAGAGGCAAATTTCTGAAGATTAGTTATTGTACATTTTCTATATGTGAAGCATTGTTGATACACAATTTTTATTGAATCCTCCCAGCAACCTTATGGGATTTTTATTAGTCCTGTATTTCAAGTGGGAGGACTTAGCTCATCAGGGTCACTGTTAGGACGTGAGAGTTGGAATTCCAACCTAGGGCACTTAACTTCAGAGCTCACAGTTCTGGAATCACAATACTGTATGAAAAGCCCCAAATGCCTAAAAGAGTCAAAGATATTTCTGTTCTGTTATGACATAATTCTGTAGTCATTATTGAAGTTTAAAATAAACTTGGGGTAATTGATTATTGGAACAGAATTTCAGAAAATTCTATCCCAGGTTAAAAAAAAATACTATTTTATGTTTGAAGGCAGTTCATGAAATATAGAGACTAGAAAAGAGCCAAAAGACAAGGCTGCTTGAGCTCATTTAGAATCCTCAAAGCCAAGCAATATGAGAATGAAGAGAAAAATCTAAAAAAGGAAAACATCTGTTTTAAAAAATTACCTAATGTTCAACACCAATTTTCCCTTCTGATGGTGTTTTGTCTGCTTAACATCAAAGCATTTATATGTTGTTTAATATTGGTGCTTCACAACTTGGTGCAGTAGGCTGGGTTCAATTCACTTGCTAACAATTTTCCCAGGCTTCCTTTTATCATTAGAATGAGGGAGCTTTCCCATTTGTTACTGACTCCTCTTGGTCGCTGAGGTATCAGTTCTACTTTTTATTAATAGACCTGAAATTTAGACTGAAGCTGCTGCCCAAGACCTCACAAATACTAGAATCCACATCTGGCTTTTTCCACTTAGAAGCTTAAAGTCACCGAAAAGTGTCACAAAACCAGGTGGAGAATCAGTGTGTTTCACAGGAAACAAAAATATGGTGGGATAATCTTGATCACCGCTGAAACACTGTCAGTCACCTGTTAGGTGTCCAACACTGTTGTAAGGGTTGGGAATAACAGCTGGGGCGGACAAGGCTGCTGCCCTCATGGGACTGCGTTCTCTGCTGGGAGACAATCCATGTGCAATATCAGGTAAGTGCTGTGCAGAGAAGAACTGGCCACGCATGACAGAGGGTGGTCAGGAAAGGCCTCTGAAGGGGTAGTTAGCTGAGATCTGAATGACAGGAAGGAGGTCCGGGCCCCATAATATGAAGATCAGGGTGAGGCTGTTCACTCAAAGGCACGGAACATCGGGAGAACACATGGATGATATGGGTCCAGGGAGAGTATTTGGGGCAGAGTCCAAGTGTGAAATGTGGGGAAGAAAGATGATTTACATTTTTAAAATCAGTGTTGCTGCGTATCTAGAAGGGAGGGGCACAAGGAGAGGCAAGAAGGCCAGTGTGGAGGCTGTTGCCATTGTCCAGGCGACGGGGCAGCGTGGACTCCGGTAGCAAGGGAGATAGCTGTAAAACACCTCTCCGGTCCTACCTGTTTCCTCCCCTCCAGCTCAGCTTGTTTCCATCTCTGGCATAATCGTAACTGTGCTTATTCCATTAATCTGCTTAAAGCCAGATTTTTTAAATTGAGAGAAGAAAAGTTTTGAAGATTAAAAACCCAACAGTAGGCCGGGCGCGGTGGCTCACGCCTGTAATCCCAGCACCTTGGGAGGCCTAGGCGGGTGGATCACGAGGTCAAGAGATCGAGACCATCCTGGTCAACATGGTGAAACCCCGTCTCTACTAAAAAAACTACAAAAAATTAGCTGGGCATGGTGGCGCGTGCCTGTAATCCCAGCTACTCAGGAGGCTGAGGCAGGAGAATTGCCTGAACCCAGGAGGCGGAGGTTGCGGTGAGCCGAGATCGCGCCATTGCACTCCAGCCTGGGTGACAAGAGCGAAACTCCGTCTCAAAAAAAAACAAAAAAAAAAACCCAACAGTTGTTTCTCTACTGCCTTATGTTTACCTGACACACTTCTGTTTCATCTATATTATTTGTGAGGAGTGTTGTGGAGTCCAGTAGTGGAAGGCACCTGGGCCAAGGCCTTGTTTCTTTTTGGTGTCCAGTAAATATTAATGATGACAATGAAAACTCTGTCTACTTATTATCTTTCTCCTTTTGAGCACCACACAGTGACAGTCTCCTAAGTTCATGGTTGATCCCATGGCCATTGCAGTGAGAATGTGTGCGTGTGTGTGTGTGTGTGTGTGTGTGGTCACATAGTGAAAATGTATTGAGTATTCACTATGTACTAAGCACGTTACACAACTGCCCTTTGAGGTAGGTTGGTGTTTGTTTGAGACAGAGTCACTCAGGCTGGAGTGCAGTGGCACAATCTTGGCCTACTGCAACCTCCACCTCCCGGGTTCAAGCGATTCTCCTGCCTCAGCCTCCCAGGTAGTTGGAATTACAGATGTGCACCACCACACCTGGCTAATTTTTTAATTTTTAGTAGAGATGGGATTTCACTATGTTGGCCAGGCTGGTCTCAAACTCCTGGCTTCAAGTGATCCACCCACCCCGGCCTCCCAAAGTGCTGGGATTACAGGCATGAGCCACCTGAGGTAAGTATTTTTATTATCCCTGTTCTACAAATGAAGTGTCAAGGGGCAGGGAAGTAACTTCCCAAAGTTAAACAGGGAGTAAGCAGTGAGGCGGTCACCTGAGCCCAGGCAGCTGTGCTCTTCCCATGAAAATGATTATGGAAACATCACCTCTAGTTTCTTACCGTCATGGACCAGTTTTACAAGCATTTGTTATTGTGTTTGATTCTCAGAACTCTATGAAGTAGATAAAGTAGGCAGTCATCCCACTTCACAGATGAGATTACTGAAGTTACCTGATCAGCTCAACTTTATATAACTAAAGAAGCTATAGAAGTGTCTAGTTTCTAACCTTTTTGACCAAGATGGGTGCTTCTCATTAAACCTATAATGTCCTAATTTAATAATTAGCACCTGTAGCCTGATCAGAATGTCTCACAATCAATGTATATACTTGTCTATCCTGAAAAGCAGCAATTGTATCAATTTGCATTTCAAAATTGATGTGTATTAAAATATAAGAAATAGAAATATAAAATTATATTTCTTAAAATATAAGAAACAGTTTTTGAAATAGAAACAAACAACTGAAAAATTGAGTGTAAGAAGGTCCCTTAGAAACATCGTCTGGGAAATCTGAATGAAGATATAAAGGCTTATCACATACTAAAATTTCAAGAAAAGGTTTCTTGTATAGAAAAATGATGAAGATGATGGATTGCACACCTCACAGTCTCTTAAGTGGATTTTTTTTTTATATAACAGTTGTCAGACGCAATTTTAGAGACAATAACTAGAAGTGTCACTAGGTGGCACTATTGTTCTTAGCATAGTACTGTCTTAACCCATTCCCTAATGAACTTGAGATCAAGCAGGCAAATCATGAGTACGCAGACCGCATTATTCCCAGTAATGCTGTAACTTTGTCAAAGTTGTTTCTTAAATAATTGGTGAAAAGTATTTACACTATTCATGAACCCCAAATGTAGGGAACAATCTCTAGGACTTCTTTTTACAAATATCAATGGCAAATTCCCTTCCCCTTTTCCCCTTCGCCACTTCCCTCTTTTTTTTCCTTCCTTCCCTCCTTCCCCCCTTCCCCCCTTCCCCCTTCCCTCCCTCCTTCCCCCCTTCCCCCATCTCCCTTCCCCCCTTCCCCCTTCCCTCCCTCCTTCCCCCCTTCCCCCATCTCCCTTCCCCCCTTCCCCCTTCCCTCCCTCCTTCCCTCCTTCCCCCCTTTCCCCCTTCCCCCTTCCCCCCTCCCTCCTTCCCTCCTTCCCTCCTTCCCTCCTTCCTCCCTTCTTTCCTTCCTTCCTTCCTTCCCTCCATCCCTCTCTCTCTCCCTCTCTCCCTTTCACCCTCCCTCCTTTCATCATTCATTTACAAGCGTTTATTGAGTGCTTGGAAAGTGCCAGCAACTCAGCTTGGCTCCAGCTGCTTTTAACTGAAGTAATGACCTTTGTGTAAGAGCATAGGCTTTGCAGTGACAAGACCAGACTTCCTCCACTTACTGACTTGAACAAGTCATTCTTATTACCATACATACCCACTGGCTATGTGTGAAAATACTTTGTAAAATTATGTTTTATATAGGAATGCTATTATTACTACCTCAGGAAAGTTGAGAACTATATCTATTGCTTTTCTATATAATATACTCTATCAAAGCACCTAAGCTGATTAAAATCAGCTGTAGCACAAATGACTGTGAGATAGTTTCTTTTTTTTTTTTTGAGACGGAGTTTCGCTCTTGTTACTCAGGCTGGAGTGCAATGGCGCGATCTCGGCTCACTGCAACCTCCGCCTCCCAGGTTCACCCAATTCTCCCACCTCAGCCTCCCAAGTAGCTGAGATTACAGGCACCTGCCACTAGGCCCAGCTAATTTTTGTATTTTTAGTAGAGACAGTGTTTCGACATGTTGGCCAGGCTGGTCTCGAACTCCTGGCCTCTGGCGATCCGCCCATGTCGGCCTCTCAAAGCGCTGAGATTACAGGTGAGAGTCACTGCGCCAGACACAACTTCTTAATGTTGCTATTCCCTGCCTCTTAGAAATACATGTGAATAAAAAATGAATTAGGTAAACTCAAGTGCTTTGGTAGAAAGGTACTAAAAGTATTTTGTGAGATGCGTATGAATGGGTGTGTTTAAATATAAAAAATTGTTCTAACACATCTTGCAGGAGGCCAGCCTAATCTTTTACCAGCTGTACTTGACTGCAGCTGATTGTACTGCCAGGACACATGCTTCCTTTCAGATACTCATTCTGAATTAACCTGATGATGATTTGTATTTCCTCGTGGACACTGGTAACCAGCACAGCAAAAACCAATCTGAAGACCTTCGTCTACTCACATTTTTAAACAATCTGAGTGTAAATTGAGATTGGCTCATTTGGGAGGTTGTGCTTACTGTACTTTTCTCAAGTAATCTTTTTATACAATCTATTCGGTTCTTTCTTACTGATGTGTAGGTTACACCTGAGAGGCGGGGGTGATAGGAAAACTGGGACCCTTCTCTCTGGGTGTGTTTTAATGCCCAGCACTTTGGAAGCACATAATGAATGTGAGTTCTCTTCCGTTACCAGGATGCTAAACAGCTGTTCAGGAGTTGCGACGGGGGTCTAACAGCTCGCTGAAGAGGTCAAAAAGAGCGTTTAGAAATGCTTGCTCTGACAGTGACGCTTGTTCTCTCAGCAATTGCCTTCATACCAGCCAATCACATAGTTGAGAACTCAAGAAAAAGAAAAACCTTGATTTGAAGGGTTTTATATGAAAAATATCCAGGATTTCCTGATTATTTTACAGATAAGCTAAAGCTAAAATTCAGTAGATTATCTGTGTTTCATCCCTGCCAGATGATAAACAATTGGGAGCAGAGGCCACTTGCTGAAAGCCATCTTGAGAGGTAAACCCCCACTTCTCAGATTGGAAGACTAAGACCCCAAAGCCTCCAGAACTAACCTCTGACTTAATCCAGGCTTCTCAGCCACTGAGGTCTCACCTAGTTTATCAGCTGTGGGCTCAGCCTGCCCTACCCAACTCCAGAGCTTTTCCTTTTGTTTTTAAATTGCCCTTGAGTTCTCCACTGCTCTTCTCTTCCCCCTGGCTGTGAAAACACCGTGGATGTCAATATCCAAACCTAGGCCGTAAATATGAAAAGACAAGGATCTGTAAACAGAGAAGCAAGCAGGGAATAAGGCCTGCATTCATGGGAATTAACTGGGCAATCCTAGAAAATTTGCCATTCTGAATGGCAAATTTTAATCAGTGGTGCTGAGAAACTTCCCAAGCAAAACAGGTTTGCGTGTCTCTGGGGTGGGCCTCTCTCCTTGCCTCATTTCTGGTCTTAATTTCCACGTCTAAGGGAGCTAGGAGATCTTCACAGCACTGCCCTTGAACAATATCACATTTATATAACTTTGTCCCTCCTTTGCTTGTGAGTCTGGCTGTCTTTTCCTGTTAAAAGACAAAAAGGGTCTTCAACCCAACCTCTTCAGAGAACACCAACCAAACAAGAGCAGGGATCCCCCTTTATCTGATGGGCTTGCCACGCAGAGCTGCAGACGCTGAGTTGCCTGGCAGATGGGAAGCGAGTCCCTTCTGCCCCGTGGAGGGGAGGGGCGGAGGACAGCCCACTGTCAGTCCACAACGGCCACACTGGAGAGACCTGAAAATCCGGGCTGGCTGCGCAAATCCAGGCTCGTTGTCAGGCTGGCAGCATTGGCCGGGGCTGAGTGAATCAAGCGAAACAGAAGGCAAATGGATTGACCAAGTTATTACCGCGAGGAAACACACAAGGTAATTTAAAAGATGAAAAATAAGCTCTTCTACTCTCCACAATCATGGAGATGGAAAATGTTAGATTCTTGCTTATCTTTTCAGTGTGTATCTGGGTTTTTATGCATATAATTTTTGTTGTGATTTTTTTCTTTTTGGCCTCGTATGTTGCACGTGTCTGTCATGTCACCTCCACCACTTTGCTACTTTACTTGAATATGTGAAAACAGACCTCAATTTTGAAACTCTTTTATGACATATTCTTTTATTTGAAGAGGTGACTTTGATTTAGAAAATACAAAGTCACTGTCCTACTTTCTTTGTACCTGGGCTACATTGGACATAGGTATCAAAAGTAACGACCTCCTCACCTG